GTATAGTATAGTATTTCAGTCTGGCGAGTAAACAAAAAAATTTACTAGCCAATGACGATTCAATTGCCAAGGTGTCCGTAGAGGGTTGATATATTAAAACACTAGGGTGATTATCATCACATCAAACTCGCACAGAAATGTGGTTCAGTGCTGGGAGACACAAATAAAGTCTGTGTCCATCATTCACGTCTGATGTCTGAAATCTGCTTTGACTGGCTCTGATTCTAGCAACTATCGATAATCGACCCGAATCCCTGAAATGGTGTGTGTGTGTGTGTGTGTTTCAGGTGAGGGTGGAGCTCATCCGTTTGGCATGATGGCCGTCCCTCAGGCTCTGTCAGTGGCTCAGGTTGGAGTTTCTATTGAATCTTTGGACCTGCTTGCACAACAAACACCAGTCTCTACTTCAGCTGTCTCCACAGCGGACTCCTTCACACAGGTAACACATACCTCATCATAACTTATCAGCCACCTTACTTACCTTTTGGGTCTTCAGTCTTTTCAGAGTGGATCTTCTGTTCGTAGTAGTGATGAACGATTTTTAGATTACATATCACACCCTAATAAATGCAAAGTTTTTGTGGATAAAAATTATCTAAATTTATGTTTATATTTGAAAGACAATTTAAGGCATGAAGTAATATTATAACATTATAACAGTGACATTTATAAAATGGATAGTTCCAGTCTTGGCCACTGATTAAATATAAGCTAAAATACAGACCTGGCAGATTGTGGCACTGCTTGTTGATATCAGTCGTACTAAAGGCGTTTTTATTTGCGCTTTTCCAATTTCTTTCACACTTCTGTGTGGTTTGAAGGGTCAGATCAAGACTGCAGTGACCGGCTCACAGAGCCCTGTTAATATCACTGTGAGGTCAGGAACTCTCCTGCGGCTGCTTATTAACTTTTTGTTGTCATTTTCACAGTTCACACAGAAGATGCTGGAGAGCCTGTACAACTTCACCTCGTCTTTTGCGCTGTCCCAGTCGCAGATGACACCGAACCCTTCGGAGATGTTTGTTCCTGCGAGCTCCATCCTCAAATGGTGAGTGATGTTTTAAGGCGAAGCGTCATGCCAGCGAATGAGTGTTTGTGTTTAGAGTCATTGTTCTGTCCTCCTCACAGGTATGAAAACTTTCAGAGGCGAATGATGCAGAATCCAAACTTCTGGAAGACGTGACTTACTGCCGTTGTGTTTTTAACAGTTTGATCCACTACTTTATGAAGAACAATTTATTTCATTTAATACTCAGTTTTAATTTCCATGAAGAGTTTCACCTGGTCAAGGAATTTTTTCTCATGAATATTGCCTGGCACATCATTCATTTATTTGCTGAAAATGTTTTATATAACGTGCTGAATTCATATTAAATAAAATCTTTTGTCGATAAATTTTATTAGTCATGTTTATTTTTTCCATGATTTACAGAAATGTGTATCTCAGTGTTTCAGTGAACAGCTTCACAGGAAAATGCTTTAATGTGTTTAATGTCAGTAAACCCTCTGTAAGATGTTCAGGAGCCCATCCTCCTCTGACAGCAAATGCATGTCCAAATAACATTAATATTTAATTCTCTGATAAGTGGATTGTCTTTTATTGAACAGGCCAGATGATGCAGTCCTCGAATGCGTTAGCAAGGCAATGGTTACAGCTTCAGAGCATACGGATAAAGGTTGACAATTTTAGAAGTGTATTTATGATTGACTGAAAAATAAAACTCACAAAATGATTATCATCATCATCTATTCTAGACCGGGCAGATTCTGTTCTATTATTTCTTTCAACTTAAGTTTGTAATGCAATCTGATATTTGTAGGTACCCTGGTGAATTCAGTCTGAGCAGACACATCAGTCCTGTAGCCTCGAGTGCTGAAGGTGCTTCAAGATTCACACCGAATAACACATGAATAAAAGTTCTATTTTAAGGCCGCAACAGCTGAATTTAGCTAGTTATGTTTGAATAGTGATTTCACAGTATTTATTGTAGTAATGAGTATCATGTGCATCAGTATTATCGATAGTAATGTATCTGTATTATCTGTAGTAACGTATCTTTATTTAGTGTAGTAAGGTGTATTAGTATCTGTAGTAATGCATATCTTTATTTACTGTATTAACGTGTAACAGTATTATCTGTTGTAATGTGTATCAGTATTATATGTAGTAACGGTATCTTTATTTACTGTAGTATCAGTATTTCCTTTAGTATCAGTATTATCTATAGTAACGTATCTTTATTTACTGTAGTAACCCTTATATTTATTTACTGTAGTAACGTGTATCAGTATTATCTATAGTAATGTGTATCAGTATTATCTATAGTAATGTGTATCAGTATTATATGTAGTAAGGAGTATCTTTATTTACTGTAGTATCAGTATTATCTATAGTAACGTGTATCTTTATTTACTGTAGTAACCCTTATCTTTATTTACTGTAGTAATGAGTATCAGTATTTACTGTAGTAACATGTATCAGTATTATCTATAGTAATGTGTATCAGTATTATATGTAGTAAGGAGTATCTTTATTTACTGTAGTATCAGTATTATCTATAGTAACGTGTATCTTTATTTACTGTAGTAACCCTTGTCTTTATTTACTGTAGTAACATGTATCAGTATTATCTATAGAAATGTGTATCAGTATTATCTGTAGTAAGGAGTATCTTTATTTACTGTAGTATCAGTATTATCTATAATAACGTATCTTTATTTGCTGTGGTAACGTGTATCAGTATTATCTATAGTAATGTGTATCAGTATTATCTGTAGTAAGGAGTATCTTTATTTACTGTAGTATCAGTATTTTCTGTAGTATCAGTATTATCTATAGTAACGTATCTTTATTTGCTGTGGTAACATGTATCAGTATTATCTATAGTAACGTGTATCTTTATTTATTGTAGTATGTGTATCAGTATTATCTGTAGTAAGGAGTGTCTTTATTTACTGTAGTAATGTGTATCAGTATTATCTATAGTAATGTGTATCTTTATTTATTGTAGTAACGTGTATCAGTATTATCTGTAGTAATGTGTATCAGTATTATCTGTAGTAACGTATCTTTATTTATTGTAGTAACGTGTATCAGTATTATCTGTAGTAATGTGTATCAGTATTATCTGTAGTAACGTGTATCTTTATTTACTGTAGTAACTTGTATCAGTATTATCTGTAGTAATGTGTATCAGTATTATCTGTAGTAACGTGTATCTTTATTTACTGTAATAACTTGTATCAGTATTATCTGTTGTAACAAGTATCAGTATTATCTATAGTAACGTGTATCTTTATTTATTGTAGTATGTGTATCAGTTTTGTCTGTAGTAACGTGTATCTTTATTTACTGTAGTAACATTTATCAGTATTATCTGCAGTAACCAGTATCAGTATTATCTATAGTAACGTGTAGCTTTATTTACTGTAGTAACATTTATAGGTATTATCTGTAGTAACGAGTATCAGTATTCTCTATAGTAACATATCTTTATTTACTGTAGTAACATGTATCAGTATTGTCTGTAGTAACGTGTATCTTTATTTACTGTAGTAACATTTATTGGTATTATCTGTAGTAACGAGTATCAGTATTATCTATATTAATGTGTATCTTTATTTACTGTAGTAACATTTATAGGTATTATCTGTAGTAACGAGTATCAGTATTCTCTATAGTAACATATCTTTATTTACTGTAGTAACATGTATCAGTATTGTCTGTAGTAACGTGTATCTTTATTTACTGTAGTAACATTTATCGGTATTATCTGTAGTAACGAGTATCAGTATTATCTATAGTAATGTATATCTTTATTTACTGTAGTAACGTGTATCAGTATTATCTATATTAATGTGTATCTTTATTTACTGTAGTAACATTTATCGGTATTATCTGTAGTAACGAGTACCAGTATTATCTATAGTAATGTGTATCTTTATTTACTGTAGTAATGTGTATCAGTATTATCTGTATTTAGGAATCTTTATTTACTGTAGTATCAGTATTTCCTGTAGTAACGCCGTTGGGAGGCGCGTCTATAGCAACAGATTTGCAGACACAAGCACAAAGCCATGCATCTGTACTTTTATTAGCTGTTGCACCGGTTATTCTGGACCTGTATACACTAATGTACTAATGAGTGATTAAACCGAAGTGTTTGCTTGCAGATTTTTTGTCATGCTTCAAATCCCAATGTCAGAATATGAGCGCAAACATCTGTCGACTCTGTCGAGACTTTCTGACGACGGTAAGTGACATTCTAACTAATCAGAACTACTGGCATAACCATAACTAATGTCTGAAATACAAACACACGTCTGCATCGAGCATGCCAGTCATATTTCTCGCGTCTGTTTGTTTCATTCCCCACAGATATCGATCATATTTGGTCGCTCGTGTCGTGTTTTATTAAGCAACAGATGTTCATGCGAAAGGTGCGAATGTGCATGCTTAGGCTCTACTGTTCCTCATCTATTATGCTCATTGTTTTTCTGTTTGTAAACGTGAATAATAGCGTGTTCATTCGGTTGTGGTGTGTTTTAGGGGGTTTATATCCTCGGTTTAGGGACTTTCACGTTCTGTCAGCAGAAACTCAACCTCGGGAACAAACATATTCTCATACAGAGACCTGTTTTCATCCTGGCAGAGAAACTCTCTCATTATTATGGATTTAAACAGATCAAACCACAGGCGACAGGTCAGAACAATCATTTTTGTTCATTTATGTACATTTACACAGAAGATGGACATTGTTGGCTGAATTAGATTTCATGATCCACACCTGATCTAAAGGTTTCTCAGATGTGTCACAGATGTCATGAAAGCTACTGTTGATCAGACTCTGGTGTCTCCTCAGACGTGCCGGTGGGGCCACTCAACTTCTCGGCCCTGAGTGCCGAGGGCCCGTTCCAGCGAGACGCAGTGGAGAGATGCGTGCGAGAAACCCTTCACCTGCTGCTCCGTGCCGCAGCCACTCGACCGTCTGTCTCGCACGCTTTTCCTGGGATCGGAGTCCTGACTTTCCGGCAAAGCCGAGTCAAGATGCTGTTCTGCCGTGACTTCATCTCAGCCTTAGATGGCACTGGGAAACTTTCCTCAGCTTCAGCCAGCGTCAGTCACAGCGAGCGAGACTTCAGTGTGTTTGAACCTGCTGGAATCTGTTTAATTAGACTCTGTTGATTTGCAGAGACCGGAGTCGAGGAACTCTAGAGAATCTAAGAGACGCTGCAATGTGCCGCGACCTGCGACCTTCAGCGGTGCCACGCTTCCCAGAATATCAGCAGGAGAAGCCCTGAGAAAACCGCTGCAGACTGATGAAGATGATGATGATGGTGGATGGGGTTTGTCATGAGGAGATCTGGGCTCATGCTGACAGTTTGAGGAAATATGGTAGCTCTGTACTGTTCTGTGTTAGACTCACTCTCATCTCATTATATCTGCAACAGAGAAGCGTCAGCCAGCGGACAGAGCGACTGTGACTGACCTCACAGACGGGCTGGAGGACAAACGGCCAGCAAACACTGACAGGTAGATTCCAGCAGAAGATGATGAAGAATCAGCTGGCCCAGCATGAATTATAAATATTGTCATCATAACCACTGAATTAAAAACATACATTTAAATTTAAATACATTCCTTATCATCACAGAAATAGTTCAGTCTTGGTTAAAAATCCTACTGGGTAGGAAACCAGTTAAAAATCTGGAATTAAAAATTTCCTCATGCGGTGATTTGTGTTGCTTAACAGCATCTGATGACAGAAAGGTGCTCAGATTATCACATGACCCTCTCAAATACACTCAGAACAGAGGCGTTGTGTTACGGTGAACTCTTGTGTGTGTCATCAGACCATTAAAACACTCGAGCTCTGCAGGAGAAAGTTGTTTAGTTGTGACGTAAGACCGGTTTGTGTGACTGAAACGTGAGCTTTACCCAGCAGTGAATGCAGTCTGTCAGCGTGGCTCCTCTCGCTTTAAACATGCATCACCGCCTGTGACTGAACACACTGAGCTTCAGATTTGGGTTTAAAAAATAATGTTTCTTTTATTTGGCCTGGCGGTCTTATGGTAAAATTCTTATGATAATATAGTAATCTTCTATCATTTAATAATCTGTTAACAGTGTTGGGGGTAACGCATTACAAGTAACGTGAGTTACGTAATCAGATTACTTTTTTCAAGTAACTAGTAAATTAACGCGCTACTTTTTAATTTACAAGAAAATATCTGAGTTACTTTTTCAAAAAAGTAACGCCAGTTACTTTGTTTTCCCATTTATTGACTAACAGCTCTCCTGTCCCCGTGTTGGGAGAAATCAGAAGTGCAGAGGCGTTGTGTGCGCTGTGTGAACATGATGTAGTTCTAGACAAAACAATCAAGCCCATCTCATATTTAAAAAGTAACGCAAAAGTAATGTAACGCATTACTTTCCATAAAAAGTAACATAAGTAACATAATTAGTTACTTTTTTTAGGGAGTAACGCAATATTGTAATGCATTACTTTTAAAAGTAACTTTCCCCAACAGTGGTTACTGAGTCACTGTAACTGTGTTCTGGACTTATTTAATTGTATCAGCCAGCAGACATTTACACATTTACATTTAGTCATTTAGCAGACGCTTTTATCCAAAGCGACTTACAAAAGACAGACTCAGTGGATCTGTGTCGGCCGCACTGCTAACAGTTTCTATGTGTAACTGTTTCTAAATGAAGAATAGATGAGTGTTAGATCAGCAGGACAAATCTGAGACTTTCTGTTTGTCATGAACACAGAGGCGTCTCTCTCAGCATCGCGACAGTAAAGAGCAGCGCTGCAGATGCGAGTCTGGACCGAGCGTGCCGTGACCACAGACGGGCCGGACAGGTGAGCCTTCATCACGTCTGTGCTCTCTCTTCCAGCTCGTGATATCAGCTCAGGCTTGTTGATGTGCGTCGCAGGAGCTGTGTTACGTCTGCATGCAGCGAGCGCAGAGAAACCTTCCTTTATACCAGTCTGATGAGAGCAGAGCCGAGCGCGAGCAAGAACGAGTGTTAATGCTTCAAGAACATCAGAAAGACCTGCAGTATTTCCAGAAAGAAGAGGTGCCCGAGCACACTCATTTACTGAACGCCTCATTTCAATAGGAATATCACATTAAATTCATTGCTGTTAATAGCGTTCACCGTCTGTTTGACTGTATGTTTCTGGCATATGGACATCAACTTGACAGTCACCACACTGCAAAAAAGGCTTATCTTAGTATTTTTGTTTTAAGAATATTTTACCCCACTGGCAGATCATTTTATTTATTTTAAGCAAAATGCACTTCATTTAGTTTCTTTCCCCTGGAAACAAGACTAAATATCTTACGTCATTTTGCTTCTCTAGTAAATGCATCTTAATTTAATAATTTTTTAGATATTTTGACTAGAAACAAGAGAAAAATACTAAGTTAGATAAGCCTTTTTTGCAGTGCACTGATGAGCTACTACTAAATATAATATAGAAACTTTAATTTTCTGTAAAGCTGCTTTGCAATGATTTGTATCGTGAAAAGCACTATACAAATACACTTGAATTTAATTGAATTAAACTACTATAAACCTGTCTTGGACCGTTCCATCACTGACAGATGGACAGACAGAAGAAGCGGGAGGACAGTCAGAAGCTGGCGGCGTTTAATCTGGCCGCTGCAGAAGCTCAGAGACGCAGGAAAGCGCAGGCATACAGCCAATCAGACGTGAGTCTCAACGCCGTTCAGGCTTCAGCTGGATCTGTTTAATTGTTTTTCTGGTCATTTGACGCATGGCCTTTTAGGGCTCGTACATCTTCGTGGTTCGAGCCTGCAGCGCAGACTGTCTGCCGCAGCAGAGACGCTACATGCAGGAGGCAGCCAGACGCAGACAGACGCAGACGGAGCTGATGCAGACGGAGCTGATGCAGGAGGCAGCCAGACGCAGACAGATGCAGACGGAGCTGATGCAGACGGAGCTGATGCAGACGGAGCTGATGAAGGAGGCAGCCAGACGCAGACAGATGCAGACGGAGCTGATGCAGACGGAGCTGATGCAGGAGACAGCCAGACGCAGCCAGACGCAGACGCAGACGGGCAGACTGCATCTGCTGCAGCTCTCAGAAGAGTGAGCATCTCATCGCAGCGCTGTGTGAACGTGTTTAAGATGATGGTGTGATTGTTTCTGCTTGTTTTGTGATGTTTGCATCAGGATCGCATTAGAAAAATCTCAGCAGCTTCATGAGAAACACGAGACGGCCAAGAAGTACCGAAAGGCACTTGAAGCACAAGTGAGTGACTTTCGATCGTTTCCCGTTTGGGATCAGCTGGGTCAATTACATTTTACATTTACATGTAGTTATTTTGCAGACGCTTTTATCCAAAGCGACTTACAATTGGGGAATACATAAAGTGATTCTTCTTAAAGAGGCAAACAGACACAGGAAGTGCTCGCAATACCAAGTTTCAGGTATTGTTTAAATCAGTACAAGCTAGAAAGGGAAGGAATAAATAAAGAGAAAGACGTTTTTATTTTTATTTTTATTTAGGATGAAGTCAAGTAGCATCGAAAGAGATGAGTTCTCAGCTGTCGCTTGAAAATTGTCAGGGATTCAGCATTCCGTATAGCGGTAGGAAGATCATTCCACCAGCCGGGAACGTGATTTTGAGCCTTGAGACCACGAGGCGTCGCTCACTAGCGGATCTCAGACTTCTGGAGGGGATGTAGATTCGTAGTAGTGAGTGGAAGTAGGCGGGTGCTGAGCCTATAGCTGTTCTATTTGCAAGCATCAATGTCTTGATCTTGATTCGAGCCGCAACCGGTAGCCAGTGCAAGGAGATAAAGAGAGGTGTAACATGGGCTCTTTTGGGCTCATTGAAGACCAGTCGTGCCGCTGCATTCTGAATCATTTGTAGAGGTTTGATTGTGCTTGATGGAAGTCCAGCCAGAAGAGCATTGCAGTAGTCCAGCCTAGAAATGACAAGGGCCTGGACTTCTGGTTGAAATGAGAGATAGAGCTGTGTGTCATCAGTATAGCAATGGTAGGAGAAGCCATGTCCCTGTATGATGGGACCCAGTGATGTAGTGTATATGGAGAAGAGGAGCGGTCCAAAAACTGATCCCTGAGGAACCCCAGTGACCAGTTGATGAGCTTTGGATACACAATTTTGGACTTTATCTCATAAATGAAGCAGCGCTGCATGTTTGGCACAATATTTATGTCATAAATCTATAGACATGCGGATGATTCTTAATGCTCTGATTTAGGATATCTCAAGCTTTTTTCCACACAGTTTTGAATTTGATATTTATTTGTGTATTGAATTATCTCACTCTTAAGTTGTTTCAAAGCAGCTTTACAGAAAATTGTGCCTTAATGTGTTAAAGCACCCGGTGAGAAAAAAAAGCCATAAGATATTTAGATCAGACCTCCTCGTCCTCCTCTGGATCAGTGAACTGATGCTAAATATGATGTACTTACACAGTCTGTGTTATACAAGTCGTGATTGAGCTTTCAGTGTGTTTAACTGTAAGGATAATATCAGCAAATCAGATCAGTGACGTTCTCTCTGGATCATAAACACACAGCAGCAGTGATCAGGACTGATTCTGCCTTTCATATGTTGTTTTGAGTGTGGAAGCACGTTGTTAAGTGCATTAAGGCTCACTGTCCTTAATATGGCGTTAATATGCATTTCTGTAGCTCAGACAGTAAGATCCCAGGGTTTGAGTCCATGAACTGATTAAACGCGACAGCTTTGTTTCTATCAAAAACTTCCAGAGTGTTTCATTCTCTTGAAATCATTGTCATAAACAGTAATATATCTCCTGATCTTTGTGTTTTTCTGTCTGTTTGCGTTTAGACGGATCGCCGCTGTTCAGAAATCTCTCCGCGTTTCGACGCGCGGCCCGTGTTTGGACTGATGGACTCCAGTCCGGCGGCTTTAGCGGAGCAGAGACGGAGAGCGCAGAACATCTCTGAAGAGCTGATGAATACAGCCAACCAGAGGAGGAGAGAAACGCTGGAGAAGCGCTTGAACGAGCAGAAGAGAGAAAGAGAAATGATGCAGAGAGACCTCAAAGAGTGAGTAACAAACCAGCAAACAAGCATTAATCCTAAAGAGAAGAATGAGTTCTTGTTGTCTGGGCCTGATGTGCATGTGTCTCAGATCACAGTCGGATGGTTTGAGTGGAATGAATAATGTCTCTTTCGCAGAATGTTAGACGAGCGAATCCATCGTTACGAGAAGCTGCGTCTCCTGCGGGCCGCGTACGAGGAGAGCTGGCACCGCAGCGCCGACCTCAAACACCAGCGAGACCGAGAGGAACTCAACAGCAGGAGGTACAGGAACAAACTGATGATTAGTTCAATGTATAGATGGAATAACAAGAGAAAAACAGAGAGGTCATGATGAGCGATCGCAGGACGTCAGAGCCAGAGTTTCTGTAATCCTGATGATGTTTTTGCTGTTTCCTTCAGGTTCGGTGGTCAAACTCTGACAGAACAACTGGGAAAATATGAGCGATGCAGTCAATGCAAACGCAGCACCGCCAACCGCAGCGAGAGCAACGTCTTCAGAGACACGAATTATGTGACTGGAGCTCGACTGATGCTGTAGACCTCGGATTTCAACTCAGATAATAAAGATGAGCAAAATAAGTGTATGCTTCCTCATCCACATTTACAGCAAACTGAGAGCATCTGCTGTGTTCGTTTACACAGAGATGAATCACATTGTGTTTATTCTTCAGCACTGATCTCATCACAGCCGCATTTCAACATCAGCGAAGATGAAGAATGTGACGCGAATGTGCAGATGCAGATTTTGTTCTTATCTGATATGTTTTGAGCAGAACTTTAAATGCGCCTTCAGCCGTAGAACATGATATTGAGATATTTTGATATTCATAGATCCACAAACGCTTTGTTCTCTGTTTGCAGAATTTTCTCAGAAAATGAATTCTTTGGAAAGAGATGAAAGTTTTCTGCATGTGATTCATCAGTATAAAAGACGTGGTGGAGAATGTGCCATGATGCTCCATTAGTTCATATTTAACAACATATAATGTTCTTGTATCATGACCAGTGCACACCTTAGATGCGATTCAGTGTTTAACATTGACGCTGTGAGCTTTCATATGCACCAATGTCTATTTAGAATGTTTGCATGTGATCAAATGCTTTAAATTATTACAGTTTCTTATTTTACATGCAGAATGTGTCTGTTAGGAGCCGTCAGTGCAGCAAATGCAGAAATGGACACCAGGTGGGGCTTCAATGTCAAAAACACAACTGACTTCATTCAGCTTCCACAGCGATCGAGAGTGCTTTACACACAGAGCAGAAGACACTGAGATTGAGAGTATTTTGCAACCGTGGCCTCACATTTACTGTACATCTGTGCTAAAAGTGAATGAAGCCCAAAGGAGCAAAGTTAAATTCACGCATAATACACAGTCAAGCAAACGTACAAAAACAAATAGTCTTCACTTCACTGAGTGTATGTTCATAACGCTCTGCTGAGAGCAAATGATGGAAATACAGAGTGAATATGAGAGCGTGTGGACAGCTGTTCCACTTTCCCAAGACACCAGATCAAATTGATATTCCACATTTATTGAGCAACACATCAGCCAGAGTCAGTTCCTGATTCCAGATGTTCAAAACACACTGAAGAAGCCAGCAAACCACAGAACCGCTTCTGCACTAAACAGATAGCACTCAAACAATCCCTCATGTGAATTATTTTCTCTTGATATTTTGTATTTGGTCTAGTGTTGCTTTAAATCTAACACTGCATCTTCAGGGTGTTTTTGACAGACAGTGAAGCAGGACAGAGGCAGAGAGACGTCACGAGCTCATCGTACTGTTATCTCAGTCCAAAAACACAGAAGAGAGGCGAGATGCGTCCGCAGACGTACAGCTGCTAATGCGACGTCAGGCTCACGTGAGCAGGATAGAGTCCAGCCTACAAGACAATAAAAGTCATCTCAAAGAGGTCAGAGGTCACAGCACACATTCTGTTCACATGTGATTTTACGAACCACAGGGGACAGAAGTGACTCATGAAGCTCAGTGAGGCTGAGGAGAAACACACACACACACACACACACACAAAGGTTTGTCATCAGTAAACAAACACATTTTCCAAACCACACAGACTTGAGTATAACAACACACACTCACACACGCACACTCACTCACACACCCACACACACACACACACACACACAAAGGTTTGAGTCATCAGTAAACAAACACATTTTCCAAACCACACGGACTTGAGTATAACACACACACACACACCCACACACACAGAGAGAGATTGCGCTGCGCACACAGAAACATTCAGGAGCACAGAAACTTGTTTTCAGCGCTGCCCCACGACTTTTATTAATAAAATAAAATTCACACACAAAACACTCTTTCTCTCTCTCAATCGGTTGATCAATCAATCAATAATTTATTCAAATCATAATGCATTAATTCAAATAAATGTGACCCGCACTATTTAGTCTCTGGTCCTGACCTGAAGTGGGCAGAATGCTAGCGCTAACGAGCCGTAACTGACGAAAATAACCGTCATTTTTACGGTCAAATATTGCACTGCAAACATCAACAGCTTTAGCTTGTCAATGCTGGCAAATGACTATGGTATAAGCGAGATAATGCATGGCTAGCTATGCATTAAACAATATTAATGCACTCTGTGTCGGGTGGTCCTTTGCCTCCAGATCGTGCATTAAAACCCTTTGATCACAGCTAACCGTGCATCATCCCTTATTTATTTTACTCCTAACCTGAACCCTCACTGAAACGTCTTTGCACTTTTGGACATTGAACACGTGTCTTCAGTGTTGAGCGCTGCTTGTTCCTGAGAGTTTCTGCTTTTCCTGATACACCCAGAATCAGCGATCACAAGCCTGTCTGATGTCTGGTGTCTGCAGAGACCCAAAGCCCTTCTGATCTCGATCTGGCATCACTTCTTCATGCGAGTGGGTGTTTCTGCGAATAATATCACACACACAATCATTCCGCGGGGAAAGGTCCTGGCATGTTTGCTTCTTATTGATGGATTCCAGCATGTTTCAAAACTATTGGGTGCATTTCAGTGATGCCGAGGAGCAGCTCCAGCTGCAATGATTCCTTTATCAACTATTTCATTTCCATCACACTGAAAATCAGATTCGGCATTTTCAGTTTTAGCTGTCTGATGGTTTATGACGATCATGAACAGTCAGCAATAACCAACTATAATACAACTCATCTCATATGACTTGTGCTATAAATTCACAATCTCGGAGAAAGTGGTGTGGTGTTTTACTGGCAGCTGTTAGCGGTGAGTTCATGCTAACGAGTCACGCTAATCACTAGCAGAACGTTTCCACATCAACAGCTCATGGGTGCGTCCAGGTCATTCGAGTCTGGACTGACTCACTCCATTCACGCTAATGAATCTCTAGCTGTAAGGCATCAGTATAAAACATGTAGTGCAGAGGACAAATAAAGAAATATATTCATATGACTCACAGTAAGACTGAAGAAATGAGCAGGCTTTACAGTTTGCATGTCAAAGGATTCAGGAGCAAGAACACATTAACAGCTTTAACTCTGATGAATCATAAAGGTGCCTTTTCATGCTGAAATCAAACACTGACAAACAGAGCCGTTCCCTACAAACACGCCACACCAGACAGACTTCAGTCAACAATACAGACACGTTCTGCTGCCTGAGCTCCAGTGCTGGGAAGGTTACTTTGGAAATGTAACAGGTTACAGATTACATGTTACACTATTTAAAATGTAATGAGTAGTGTAACTATTTCAATTACTACACAGAAACATTCAGGAGCACAGAAACTTGTTTTCAGCGCTGCCCCACGACTTTTATTAATAAAATAAAATTCACACACAAAACACTCTTTCTCTCTCTCAATCGGTTGATCAATCAATCAATAATTTATTCAAATCATAATGCATTAATTCAAATAAATGTGACCCGCACTATTTAGTCTCTGGTCCTGACCTGAAGTGGGCAGAATGCTAGCGCTAACGAGCCGTAACTGACGAAAATAACCGTCATTTTTACGGTCAAATATTGCACTGCAAACATCAACAGCTTTAGCTTGTCAATGCTGGCAAATGACTATGGTATAAGCGAGATAATGCATGGCTAGCTATGCATTAAACAATATTAATGCACTCTGTGTCGGGTGGTCCTTTGCCTCCAGATCGTGCATTAAAACCCTTTGATCACAGCTAACCGTGCATCATCCCTTATTTATTTTACTCCTAACCTGAACCCTCACTGAAACGTCTTTGCACTTTTGGACATTGAACACGTGTCTTCAGTGTTGAGCGCTGCTTGTTCCTGAGAGTTTCTGCTTTTCCTGATACACCCAGAATCAGCGATCACAAGCCTGTCTGATGTCTGGTGTCTGCAGAGACCCAAAGCCCTTCTGATCTCGATCTGGCATCACTTCTTCATGCGAGTGGGTGTTTCTGCGAATAATATCACACACACAATCATTCCGCGGGGAAAGGTCCTGGCATGTTTGCTTCTTATTGATGGATTCCAGCATGTTTCAAAACTATTGGGTGCATTTCAGTGATGCCGAGGAGCAGCTCCAGCTGCAATGATTCCTTTATCAACTATTTCATTTCCATCACACTGAAAATCAGATTCGGCATTTTCAGTTTTAGCTGTCTGATGGTTTATGACGATCATGAACAGTCAGCAATAACCAACTATAATACAACTCATCTCATATGACTTGTGCTATAAATTCACAATCTCGGAGAAAGTGGTGTGGTGTTTTACTGGCAGCTGTTAGCGGTGAGTTCATGCTAACGAGTCACGCTAATCACTAGCAGAACGTTTCCACATCAACAGCTCATGGGTGCGTCCAGGTCATTCGAGTCTGGACTGACTCACTCCATTCACGCTAATGAATCTCTAGCTGTAAGGCATCAGTATAAAACATGTAGTGCAGAGGACAAATAAAGAAATATATTCATATGACTCACAGTAAGACTGAAGAAATGAGCAGGCTTTACAGTTTGCATGTCAAAGGATTCAGGAGCAAGAACACATTAACAGCTTTAACTCTGATGAATCATAAAGGTGCCTTTTCATGCTGAAATCAAACACTGACAAACAGAGCCGTTCCCTACAAACACGCCACACCAGACAGACTTCAGTCAACAATACAGACACGTTCTGCTGCCTGAGCTCCAGTGCTGGGAAGGTTACTTTGGAAATGTAACAGGTTACAGATTACATGTTACACTATTTAAAATGTAATGAGTAGTGTAACTATTTCAATTACTTTATTAATGTAAGTGATTACATGTGAATACTTTTTGATTTCTAAAGTTCTAACAGATGTTTTCAGCTGTTAATCATTTTGAACATGTAAAGCAGGCAGGTTAATCCTACAGTAGCGCTCAACACTGATTACTGTCAAAATCCTTGATCCCTTGACTTTAGGTTAATTTTAAAGCACAGCCACCAAAAAATCAGACTTTAGCACCTCTTTTTACTTAGAGATCATTCTGAGGATAAATACAGATTTAAAACCATAACAAGAAATAGTTTAATAGCAATGATACTGTTTTTGAAATCAAATCTTTGTATAGCTATGACAGAAAACACTGGCATCTAACAGTGGCTTGGAAAAAATAGTTAATCTCTTTAAAAAATATAGCATATACATAAACCCAAATAGGAAATAAAACAGTTATAGAATAGTCAGTATTTATTGACTTGAGCATGTTAACGCTGGTGTTTGGAAGCCGGTTTAACAGTTTTCAGTGCTGGACACAACCGTCTTCACGTGTTTTCTGGACATTTAAGAGCATCAGTAGAAGACATGAAGAAACTAACTCAAGAACAAAGCTGGCAGTAAATGTATGAGAACAGCTCAGAACCACGAGCATCTCATTCATGGCACAGAGCCGCTCATATCAAACATTCAGGTGGATCTGATCCAGTGTAAACACATACAGTAATAAACACATTCAGCAGGACTGTCAGGAGACGGCGAGAGCTGCACAGAAACACACGCTCGAGCGGCTAGATTCATTCTGTAGTTCAGATGAAGAACATGTACATGAGCGCGTAAAACACACTCCTG